TAGCTGAGCCATCCTGCTACCTGTTGGCAGCTCAGCGGCTGCTCAGCTCGGGCTGGACTCGAACCACTGTTGCTCAGAGCTCAAACTCTTGAGCGAGGTCTTAACCAACTGAGCCACTCGGCCGGCCCGAGAGGCTTTTCTTAGAAAGCAGCGTGTATGCACTCCAGTGATGTTGATCCTCTGCTCCTACAGATATTCAATGAACTGGACCAGGCTGGCTCCTTGCTGGCCAAAGAGACCCTGGAGGATGGGCTCCCCATGCACAATGGGAAAGGAGACGTGCGGAAATGCCCCTACTACATTGCTAAACAAGACAAAGGTAGGTCTTGTGTGCCCCGAGCTCCCCTCCCAGGGAAGGCATGTTGGTGTCCCCCACTGATGCCGTGTCGTGTTGTTGCTGCCATGCAGGTGCCCTGGAGGGCAGCAGCTGCCCCTTCCGAACAGCCCTGTCTGTGCTGAGCAAGCCCAGCCTCCAGTTCATTCTGGCCACCACTGTGGCCCTGGCTGCCGGCCTCCTGGCCTGGTACTATGTGTGAAGGACCCATCACATCACATTGGCGCCCTCCTCTCCAGTGACTGCTAGCCTGTCCCCAGCTCTACCTGTGATGAAGCTACCACCTCGGGTGACTTTTTTTTTTAATGCTGGGTTTGAGAAAACAACCAATAAAAGCCAGACGCTAAAACTTCTGCCTGTTGGCATCCTCTGTGGGCCAGATGCTGAGCTGGGTGCAGGGCCCCCCTCCCTGCTGCCCCAGGCTGTAGCACTGGGAGCAGCTGGTACAGTTCAGGTCACTGGCCTGGGCCTGTGGAACCAGCTCTGCTCTCGGGCGCCCACACCTCTCTCACCCCGAAGCTCAGTCTCTTCGTTTAGGTGGGTATCTTTTCCCTGCTGGGAGTGGAGCTGCCAGCAAGGCCAGGCCGCTGTAGCTCTGTGGGAGGGAGGGAGCCTCCCCAAATGCTCCTGCTCTACTTTGGGGCATCATCTGGGGGTGGGGGGACAGAAGCCAGGCTGGCACCCTGCCTCTAAGGCCCTGGGAGCTCTGTCCAGCAGCACCCCCTGGACGGCTGTATCCAGCTGTGGCCTGTCTCCTCCTCTGACCTGTGTTGATGCTGTAACACTTAATAAAGTAGACTCTGACAGCTGCCTCCCTGCTTCCTGGCACGGACGTCCTCTTTCTCACTAGTCCCTGACAGCCCCCAACACTGCTGGTTACCTTACAAGTAAGGACAAAAAACTGTGTACCTGTATTATATAACAATTCATTATCAAAAATGTTTTAAAATAGAAATGTGAACTTAAACATTTTTATCAATAGGATTCTACTACCTGTAAGGATCTATAAAAATTTTATTCACAAAAGGGTTAAATGGTGGGGAAACTGTTCAACTACTGACCGAGCCTGCCCACCTTCACAATTCAGATGAGAGGTAGGGGCAAAGCCAGCCTAGAACCTGGGGGCCCAGACTAGCTGCCCCCCAGAAGCCTTATCCCCAGTGGTTCTGTCTTGCCTAAGGGAGTGAAGGTACCTGCCTCCCTGAGCTCAGGCTGGGGGCTCCAGCTTACAGATTCCCATGGGCGGACGCTGTGGTGTGGAGATGGGTGAAAGCAGTTTCAGAGATAGTTAAGGTGACCTTACAGTGCTGTGACACCAACACATGTCCTGGCCAGGTCACATCTGGAATGTCAGTGCTCGTCCATACCAGACTCTGGCTTGGTTTAACTAGGTACTTAAAAGTCAGTGTCGTCCCTGAGCAGTCATAAGCATAAGCACGGAAACCCTGAGGACTCAGCCCTGCCCTTAGACAACCTGTAGTACCACCCATTCCCTTGCAAAAGAAGGAAGCCAGGCAAAAGAGCAGAGGCCCAGGGCAGGGGAGTGAAAGGGCCCATTTAATGAGAAACTACAAACAGACCGGCCACGATTCACAGTGACAGGAGGCCATGCAGTGGCACCAGGAGAGAGAGGGGTGGCGGCAGGGTACATCGGTCCATGGGAGCAAGTTCACAGACAAACCCATCAGAAGATACAGTGTGGCTTCAGGCCCAGGGTAGGGCTAGCGTCCACCAGGGCACTTCTGCCACTTGGGGCTGCTCCTTCCTTGTCCCCAGTGCAGTGCTGCAGTCGCTCCTACCACAGTGCCTGGAGCAAGCATAGCGGCAGCGAGTTGGCCAGGGGAAAGGGCCCAGCGTCCACTGGGAAGAGGCTCCATTGAGTGGGCACTGCAATTCTGAGTGCCCATAGGGAGGGCCCTATGTGCCACTTCCAGGCCCAAAGGGGGCATACCAGCCACCAGGCAGAGGTCATACTCACACGCAGCAAGGACACGGTATAGACAGAGGGATTGGGTTGCTGAGCATTCCTTCTGGCCCCAGCAAAGATGGGTTCACAAAGGCATGACCAGAAAAGTCGCTACGCAAGGGGTCAGAGGCGAGTCCCTTCTTGGTGAGCCAGGGCCCAGTCACTTATCCCCTGACCTGCAGTTGTGCTGACTTCTCTACCTTACTCCAGGTGGCTCCTGTGCACTTGGACAAGGTGTTGAGTTCCTGAGAATTCTGAGGGCCAGAGTCATTCCCTCTGACCATCATGCCCGCCTCTAGCACCCCAGAAACAAACCCTGGCCTTATGACCCTGTTCTGCTTGAAATCACTCCCCCGCTCAGCCCAGCAGATCAGAAATAACTGTGCCTATAAGCACAGCCCCGCTGCAGGCCCAGGTCTGGGAAACCAGCCACCGCTCTGGCTGCTTTTGGTCTCAGGGAGAATCAGGACCAAACTTGAACTTTGTACAGAAATGGAGGAGTGAGACCTCAGCAGGGAGACCCTTCCCAGTTTATCTTTCTGATCACAAACAACAAGCAGACCAGCAACACACAAGCTCAGTGCCAGCTCCCTGATAATACTCGATGACCCTTCTTGGCCTTCAATCCAACAGAATTTTTGCCGGAAGAGTCAGATGCTCAGGGAAGGGCAAGGTGGAAAGGACGAGACTTCCAGGGGACCGGTGGAATGGCTTCCACCCCAAAGTGGGAGTGGGGACACAAGCCACTGAGCGCGGGGAGCGAAGCACAGGGGGCAGACCGACGGCAGGGAGTCCAGTCCCGGCTCCGTTAGCACAGGCGCTTGTACGTGTAGATGTAGGCTTTGCAGCTGGGGCACGTATGCGTCACATCCTTGAAGTCGTTGATGAGGCAGGGGATCAAGCAGCAGCCCAGATCACACCTGAATCAGAGATGGGGAGAGACGGGAGGCCTGAAAAAGGTGCGGAGGACACCGGGCCTACTCCAGCTGCATGGATGGTGGGCACACAGCCCCCACCCGCAAGTATCTGCCCCACATACCCCATGAAGCAGCAGAAGAAACCCAGCACGAAGTTCATTAGGCCAATTTCGTACGAGATCTTGGTGGTGATGGCCTGCTGGCAGTGGGGACACACGGTCTGTACAGGCGCACCCTCAAAGATCTCTCCCTGCAGCACTGTCACCGTGGTGGCAGCCCCCGAAGGGACCAGGACCGTGGCTGTGTGGCCCCCAGGGCCAGGGTAGGGCCCTGGCGGGTAGGGCCCCGGCGGGTAGTAGCCCATAGGTGGGTGGGGGCCTGGAGGAGGATAGAAACCTGGAACGGCACAGAAGACGGAGCAGATGGGTCAGTGGCTTGCCATCTAACCCACAGGAGAGGTAAGAGGTGAGCGCAAAGCCCCAAGGCCCCTAGCACCCAGGATACAGCTGAGGCCTCAGGGCCGAGGCCCTGGGCCAAGGTGACCATACACGTTCTTCCAGCCTTTCCTGGTCCCCGCCCCATGGGGACCAAAACAGAGAAGATATTTGGCCCAGCCAGATGTGGCAGAGAGCTGGGAACAGGGCTCCCCTCGGCCTTAGCTTGATGCATTTGCTCCCTTGCCTCTGACACACGGGACTGGCGCTGTGCTCCAGGACCTCAACCACAGGAGGGAAAGCCTTGCTGCTCACCAGCCCCTCTTGCACCTAGGGCTCTCCTCCCTGCCAGTGTCAGGTCCTGCACTGCAGTGCCACCTGCCCCATCTGCCCCGGAACCACTTGTGCAGGAGCCCTGGGCCCTTCTCTGGCCTGAGCAGTCCCTGTGAAGAGCCGCTGGGTGAGCAGGAGCCCAGGCCTCCACCATGGACTCAGGTCTCTGGCAGGGAGTGGCCCCCCCTAGCACCCATGAGTCCACAGCACCTGCCACTGTGCTTGAGGGGCTTTCCCAGGAGCCAGTCCTCCTCCTGGCTCGTCCACAGCACCTGCGCAGCAGCACCGGGTTCTGTGATACCTTCCCATGTCCACCTTCCGAGCCTAGCTTCCATGCCCCCAAATCAGTCCCCCGCCCCTACAGTTAAACACCCACCTGCTTGCAGCAAAGGCGTGGCTGGCAGCCCTGCTGGGCAGGCAGACCCCTGTGCTCCCCTGGGATCCTTTTCCAACTTACCTGGAGGCATGTAGGCGCCATCTGCATTCACATGTGGGGGGATGAAGCCAGGCTGGGGCATGGAGTGGCCCGGTGGCTCATAGGGTGGAGGTCCAATGTCGGCAGGGGGCAGCGACATGCCTGGTGGGGGCTGCATCACAGCTGGGGAGGTTCGGCCTGGACAGAGGCAGGGAGAGGAAGCTCGGAGGGACCCAACACTGTCAGTGGGAGGGCTGCTCCAGGCACCAGCTTCTAGCAGCTGGGATGGGCCAGGACCAGGGCACACTGAACCCTACCTGGGGTGGGCGGGGCTCCACTCTTTTCCTCCAGAAGCGGGGCTGTGGGGCCTCCAGGATAAGGAGGGGGTGGGTCGTTAGACATCTTCAAGGCTTCTCCTGGACCTGGAGGGAAAACCCAGAAGTGAACTACGCTCCCAGCCCTCCTATAGCCTGGGCACTGATCTGTGACAGGCTGCTGCTGCACAAGGTGTGTGACAGTCCTCAATAAGCCCAAGCATACAGGGCCTCCTGGAGCTGCTCCTGCAGGTCCCTGCCCTCAGGGCTCAGATCACCTTTTACTCCCTTTGTGTAAGTCTCCCCACTGGGCAGAGCAGGAGGCTGTCACCAGGCTCCCTCTAGGTCCTGGAGATGCCCCATATTACCAGGTGTCACCTGGCCCAGAGCCACCATCCTGCACATCTCAAGAAGCTACTAACCTCAGCGGTCACCTGCACTTCCTGTGTGAAAGCCAGAGGGCGAGGGGGGGGTCCCAACAAGGACAGAACCCGGTCAGAGGAAAGAAGTCGGCCAATGAGGTGAGCCCCCTCAGTAGCTCGGAACCTAATCTAGGGTCCCCATGGCGGTGTGGCCTGCTGGTGGGAGGGGATCTGGGAGACTTTTTTACCTCCAATCCCAGGTACTCAAGAGTTGGTAGGCAGGTGATGCTCCTTCCAGTGCTGGCCTGGGCTGACACGAAGGGCTCTGGGGAGCTGTTTCAGGGGGAGAACAGGCAGCTCCCTCAGTACTGAGGACTGGGCAGGACCTGTGCACCTGGCCTCCAGGAAGCCACACTCCCTCCTTCGTCTGGCCTGCGCCACCCCACCCGCCCCTGCTGCCCAGTACACACCATCCCCGTACCTGCCCTCTCCTCAGCTCCCCCTTCCCTTTCTCACTGCTGCTCTCTCCCTGGGCCATGCATGGCTGGTCCTCTGCACCCTCTCCCCACCAGGCCCAGACCAGCCCCCAGAGCAGCGGCTTTCAGAGCCAGCTGTGCACAGTGGTGTCTCTGCCACTTTGTTTTGTTGGGGAGCCGATGGGGTGGGAAGGAAGATGATGGTGTCTGTCAAGTGAAACACTTTCCCTCATTCCTTCACTGAGCACCTGTTTAGTCTAAACGGTACAAAAGATACACAGTGAAAGCAACTCCCCTAGTGTCACTCCTAGCGTCCAGCAGGGTTAAGTTCAGAACAATGCATATGGGGATGGAAGGCTCTCAAAAATCCTGCCAGGGGAGATGGAGCCTGGAGTAAGTTAAAATATTAAAATTTAACGAATCAGTGGCAGGGCCAGAGGGACCAAGTCCAAGCAACAAAAGACAAAGATAAATTTGATTTAACCAGAATTTAAAACAGCTTCAAAAGACACCATCAAGAAAGTATCAAGACAACCCACAAGAATGGAAGAAAATGTTTACAAATCATATATCTGCTAAGGGACTTATGTTTAGAATATATAAAGAATGCTTCTAACTCATTAACGAAAAGACAACTCAATTAAAAAATGGGCAAAGGATCTGAGTAGACATTTCTCCAAAGATAAATGCCCAACATGAAGAGAGGCTGGACATTATTAGCCAAAAGGGAAATGTAAATCAAAACCACAAGGTACCATTTCATACCCATCACCTCCACTAGGATGACTAAAATGAAAAAGACAATAACAAGTATTATGCAGAGAAAATAGAACCCTCACACACTGCTGAGTGTGTAAAAATGGTGCACCTGCTGTGGAAAACGTCTGGCAGGTCCCCAAAACATTCAAAGAGTTACCACGTGACCCAGTAATTTCCGCTCCTAGATATATACAAGAGAACTGAAAACCTGTATCTACACAAAAACTTGCCCATGAATGTTCATAGCAGCAGTATTCATAATGGCCAGAAAGTATAAATAACTCATGTCCACCAATTGAAATGGATACACAGACTGGAATTATCCAGACAGTGGAATATTATTTGGCCACCAGAAGGAATGAAGCACTGACAGACTATAACCTGGATGAAACTCAAAAACATGCTCAGTGAAAGCAGCCAGGCACGAAGGAGCACATATTTTATGATTCCTTATAAAAATGTCCAGAACAGGCACATCCATGAGACACACAAAGCATATGTGTTGCCAGGGGCTTGGAGGGGTGGGCAGAGAATGGCAAGCTCAGAGTTTCCTATAGGGGTGATGAAAATGTTCTAAAACTGACTATAATGACAGTTGCCCAATTCTGCGAATATACTAAAAACCACTGAATTACACACTTTAAATGGGGGAAATTGTATGGCATGTGGATTATTATGTCAACAGTTATTAAAAAAAACTGAAGGGCCAGCCAAGTGGCGCATTGGTTAAGAGCTGGCTTGGGACGCCAGAGGGCCCCTGTTCAGATCCCACATATGAGGGCCAGTGACACTGCCCTCTACAGCTAAGATGCTGAACAACAGCTCAACCTGGATCTGGGCTGTCGTGAGTCGCCGGCGACAGCTAGGCTGCAGCCCCTGCTGCAGTGGGTTGCCATGGGCTACCGTGTGTAGCCAGCAGCCAGCGTGAGCGGCCAGCAGCCGCAGTGAGCAGCCATCCAGAAGCCGGCGACTGATCTGCCTCGCCCGGAAAGAGCGCCAATGATGGTGCCAACTTGGGCCAGTGAAGCAACGTCCTCCACAACTAGACTGAAGAACAAAAGGACAGCAACTTGTCTGTTCCCCTCCCCCAATTCCCCAATAAAATCTTAAAAAAAAGAAAACATGGAGGCCAAGAAAGGATGGAACTTGTCCCAGGCCACATGGCATTTAGAGGCAGAGCTGAGTCTAGGACCCTAAGGGACTCCCCCCGCCCCCCGCAGGTGAATTCTAACAGCACAGGATCAAGAACAAGGACCAGCAGAGCCTCCAAAGGATGTCACAGAAGGTCCCCTTCCAGGTGGGAGCCACCACCAGCCCATCAGGCATCCTCCTAATGGGAGAAAAAGGAGCCTCCTTGACTTGTGTCTGCAGAAAACTGTAATACACTAATGAGCTGGCACCTGCCACAAAATCCTGTCCTCCATCTGGGATGGCTCTGGGGTGGCACCACTGTCCACCACGCAGCCCCAGCTCAGCAGGGAACAGGCCAGGCCCTGGGATACTCTGAGCAGGGAGCAGGGGCTACACTGCAGTTGGAGTCACTGGAGCACTTCAGGCCCCAGGAGGGAGGAAGGAGCCTGGTCCTCCAAGCCCCTCCACGTCAGGGAGCAGGGGCACACGCGTGCACACGCCAGGGACCACCTCTGAGGGTGCAGGCGTGGCCTGCCCTGTCATCCAAATCACTAGATCTAATTCTGCCGTCTCCCAGAGCACAAAAATTCTACTTGTGGAATTCCACCATCATGGGGGTTACAAGCCCTGCACATGGAGCAGGCCTCCTTCAGTGTCCACTCACCCCGGAGCTGTCCTCTGGACCTACAGCAGGTACGGCTGCAGGCCACACAGATGCCAGGAACGCACACAGGGACACTTCCACTCCGGGCACTTCCGCCCCTTCCCTTGGGCAGCAGGGCCCTGCTGCTCCTTTCTCCCCTCTCCCATCCTGTCCCGTCCCCATCCACCCCACCCCTCAGCTGCTTTCCTGACTGTGTGTGGGGGTGGGGGTGGGGGTGGGCACCCTTCAATATGAAGGACGGAGGTTTCTGAAAAATGGCTCATGAAGATTTCCAGAATTCAAATCCCAGTTCCCCCAGTGCCTCCTACTATAAAAACCAAACGTGCATTCCCATAAAACTTGATTGTCTAAGGTATAATGAAAACTACAGAAATGAAACCTTTTTAAAATTCACATGTCCAAAAGCCTGTTTTCCAATAATAATGCACACTACACAAATTAAGCTACAAACATAATGTCGAGGTCTCAGCCCCGGCAACTTCGCTGCTGGGCAGGTGCCGGAGCGTGGGGTACCAGAGGCTAAGGAAGGGGCCGCAAGAGCAGTGGGGATGCAGTTTCCAGCAGACGAGAGAGGCCTGGGGTCCTGGGAGCTCAGGGAAGTCAACCTGCAGCCCCGGAAACCCGACACAGGCCTGTCAGCCTGCATTTAGCTCTTGTAGCTATGAACTGTGAAGAAATAGAAGACTATCTGAAAACTTTCACAAATTTTTTGTTAAACAGGACAGGAGCTCTTCTGGGGGCCCAGAGGACTTTACATAGTACAACTCTTTATACCTTCTGGATTTTGTGAATGTGAAGGTATTATCCAATCAAAATAATAAAATAAAATACAAAAAATTCTGTCAGAACACAGTTAGAGATCCAGCTGACTGCTCAGCAGCTGACCAGCCAATGCAGTGCTGACCCCGCAGCAGCGTACAGGTTTGAGGGCACAGAGACGGGGCACCAGGACCCCGGGGCTCAGACCCCACCATGCTGCAGGTTTCATGAGCCCCTAGCTTGTCCTGACTCATCCATGAGCATCAGAGCGGGTGTTCTCAGTGAGCCGAAGCACATGGAGTCCTCGTGTAACAGCGCTGGCACACCTGAGGCTCAATGAGGTGTGGGCTCAGACTCCACCATGCTGCAGGTTTCATGAGCCCCTAGCTTGTCCTGACTCATCCATGAGCATCAGAGCGGGTGTTCTCAGTGAGCCGAAGCACATGGAGTCCTCGTGTAACAGCGCTGGCACACCTGAGGCTCAATGAGGTGTGGGCTCAGACTCCACCATGCTGCAGGTTTCATGAGCCCCTAGCTTGTCCTGACTCATCCATGAGCATCAGAGCGGGTGTTCTCAGTGAGCCGAAGCACATGGAGTCCTCGTGTAAAAGCGCTGGCACACCTGAGGCTCAATGAGGTGTAGCAACAGTCATACCTGATACAGACCAAGGGCAGTATATTCCAGGAACACATTCCCAGTCTTGCAGAAGTCCAAGACACACTTGAGGAAGGACCTAGAGCGGTAATCCTGACACCACGGTCAGAATCGGGTAACAGTCCCTGGGTGCCTGCTATGGGACCGACACTGAACAAGTGCATACTGTCCTCAGGCCAGCCTATGGGCAGTCCTATTGGCATCTCCAGTTTAGAGAAAGTCAACCCGGCTCAGTCACATGTCCAGGGTCACACGCCCTCACAATCAGTTTTAGGTGTTTTCAAGGAATTCCTTTGAGCCTTCAATTCCTGTTGACCTTTTCAGGTCCAGTTCTAGGGGTGCTGGGAATTTCCCACTTAGCGCAGCATAAAAGTGACATGCTTCTGTCCCAGTCCCGATGCCCCAGACCCGACAGCTCCCACTTTAGAAGCCACTGGCCCGTGGGAGACAGAACCGCTCCAGAAACGTGTGCAGGGCAGAGGCTGGGTTACTGGGTGGCACCATGTCACAGGGGCCCGAGGATCTAACAGAGAAGATCAGTGTCCCCTCAACTGCACTTCCAGGTTGAGGCCTGGCCTGGAAGGAACAATCCCGACCTTTCCCAGGGCAGGGAGGCAACGTGGGGCAGGTGGCTGATGAGACAGAAGGCTCAAGGCTCTTAAGGCGCAGTGGGGGACTCGAGTGTGTGAGCCTGCAGCTTCCCCATGCTGTTTACTATAATTCACAGCACAGGCCTGAGTCCTTGAGGGGATCAGCAAGATAGCCCTTAGGATGGAGAGGGAACAGGGTGAGGCCAAGGGGAGCCCCAAGGGACAGGGGCGTGGTGTGTCCAGAAGAGGGGGGCCATGAGTAGTCTCTGGGACCCTTATAGGGCTGGGGGAGGGTGGGC